AACAGAAGACGTTTCGCTCCTCATCCGAGGAGCTTTCTCAATTCAAACAGCAGACAGTGAGAGATGCAGGTTATAAGGCTGAATCTCACTCTCTGCTCTTTGAATTGAGAAAGCTCCTCGGATGAGGAGCGAAACGTCTTCTGTTACAAATAAAGTCCATTTGTTTTTGTATTGAACGCTTTTTGAATTCATCATGTCCTGGATGACTGAGAATCTTCACCAGCATTTTTCTAGTTTTCCTCCTCTCGGCTGCTCCTTCTAGTTTTCCTTGTCTCGGCTGCTCCTGTAAACTTTACTTACTCTGAGTCCTGAACAGAGTAGGTGGAGTTGCGGTTCTTGCGAAAGCCGGAGAAAATGGACAACACGCTCCGTCGCTTCTTCCTCCTCAATGACTGGGCTTGATGGAGGGACGACAGCTGACTGAAGGAGAGAGGAATACATTAAAAAGTACATGAGCCAACAAGTTTATCAATAGACCCCAAAAATATCTTCAATACTGAATATCCGAACAATAAATGTCCTTGTAAAACCTGGTCAAATCATGTTTATTTCTCTGCCCGCTTATTGTTGCAGTCCGACCAGTTGTTCTTTCTTTTTATTTGACTAGAACAACACCATTGTTGGATTATGGATGTCCTTTGTTGATATTAGTTGTTGTTGAAAGATGAATTAGCATTTTATTTGTCATGCTGCTGTATCAGCCTGTTCTAGCTGTTTTATAAATATTTTAGGTGTAACAGTATGATGTTAATCAGAGGGGCCCAGACTTTTTCATCGTGGAGCTCTAAAATGACCAAGACATTTTAGAAGGAGTCATTTACACAGAACAACCTCTGGAAACATTAGTGTTTTTTCAATGTTTATTGGGTGTAATGAAAAAAAGAGCGGGTTTACACGAACGCTGTAGTGTCAGCTGGGTTGCCATATAAGAAATTGTGAATTATAGTATCAGAATCATAAGCTTTATTATCATTGTACCAAGATAAAACGAGAACATGTCCGTACATTCGTCCGAAAGATGGGCAGAGTGCACAAAGCTGCTGCTCTTTAAGAGCGCAGCCTCTTATCCTTTTCAGAATACAATTTTTAAATAGAAAAAGGGACAAAGCCATGAGAAGAGGATAGTGGCATTACAAAAAAAGATCTCTTCACACCTTGTCCTATCAGGACATGATTTAAGACATCAAAAAACTGTCAGCAGCACATTTATGAACACGTTACATATGTGTTTGACGACGAGGCGGTCCATGAAGCACTAACAGATAGTCCATTGTCCTGATAAGATGATGGTCAGCCGGCACAGTTCTGATAAGCCTCCACAGAAATTGGGGGTGGGGGTTTGCGATAGACAAAAGATTTTCCTTAGTTTACACATTTCCCAGGAGAAATTGATATGTCGGCCTGTTTTCGAGGCCAACTGGGGAGTCAGATTCAGATAAGCCACAGTTGTTGATTTATTCAGGCAGACTATTTTTCTTGTCAACCTTGAGTCTTTACTGGTACTTCCAAGATCCGAAAAAATGGCCAGATTAGGGTACATTCTACTGGTCCGTGCTTAAGAGCCTCTCCAAGTCGTTTCATGCTGATGAGTCGAAAGCCGCAGGTGGCCTGTGATTCAAAGCACTTCCATCTTATGGTTTAGCTCGTAAATCAGCTGATTTTGAGTCCTCAAAGCACGAACCAAACCTTCACATAGGTGGCAGCCTGACCAGATCAGATTAGCTGCAGCTGTCTTCTTTGTACGTTGATAAACCAGGATCCAGACTATTCAAAAAACAGGAAACTTATCATAAATCCAATTATATGCAATTTCAACATCCTCGATCGGAAGCAGAGGTAGACACATCACATTCCACTTCCCCAGAGATATATCCAGCTGCATGCGTTCGTCCGAGCAGACATGAGAGCTCTCCAGGACCCTGTTGCTTGTCATTTGTGTCAAAAGTCCAGTTGGTCACATCCAAAACAGTAGTTGTCATTTCGGAAAAATGTGTAAAAATAGGAGCTCAGATGCACAGACCGAGAGTAAAAAAGCAGGAGGAGAACAGGGAGAGGGAAGAGAATGTGAGCGCCTCGTACTAGAGCAAGTGATAAAAAAATGTATGTCTTTAAAATGATAGTATTTTGACCTAATATGTCATATGTGCTGAGTAAAGATATTCTAAGATGAGGTGTGTGTTTTGTTTGTTGAACATGTGCACAGAAAAGGAGGGGCTAAATAAGACATTTTGAATTTATCTGGCAATCCTGATGCAGGGATCAGCTGCATTCATTGTGCAAGCAGCATCTGCATGATCACAGTTGCATCCAAACTGGTGAATACACCAACGTCTCTTTGGAGCCTGGATTTTATTAGTTTTGCTCCTACATGCTGAAAAAGGGTGAGCAGCATAAAAACACTCTGCTCTCTGACATTTATTATAACTGTTGTTAGAACATCCTGATGCATGCTCAATAATCCAGGTAGAAGAATCTAAAAAAGTTCAATCTGGTCCTCTGGACATTCAAAAAAAAAAAACAAAGAAAAAAAAAATGTAGAAACATTTCGTCTTTCATCCGAGAGACTTCCTCAGTCTGAGGTGCTGTATTCAGCTCAGTCTCTTAAATAGCACCTTCTCAGAGTGAATCAACCAGTTTGCTGCTGACAACCAAAACCAGCTGATCACATGCTCAAGAAGGACCATCAGCCTAACAATGGGTCATTAGCACACTGATGGCTGTTTACTACTCACAGGGGGTTGAGTGATACTAGCAATCACAGCATTGTAAGAGGGGGACAGTTAAACACGGAGGCCTCCACCCCTGTTTAACGATGGACGGTTTCTTTTCACAAAGATGGCCTCCTTTACTCCTCTCTCAAACCATCGTTCCTCTCTGTCCAGGATGTGAACATCTTCATCCCTGAAAGAGTGACCGCTGGCCTGGAGATGAGTGTAGACCACAGAGTCCTGGCCTGATGATGTTGATCTTCTGTGCTGGGCCATCCTTTTGGCCAGTGGCTGTTTAGTTTCCCCGATGTAAGACTGATCACAGCCCTCCTGACACTGAACAACATACACAACATTACTCTATTTGTGCCGGGGGACTGGATCTTTGGGATGAACCAGTCTTTGCCGTAATGTATTTTGGGGTTTAAAAGCCACTGGGACGTTATGTTTCTCTGATACTCCCTCAACATATGGAATGACCACTGGTCTGGGTCTGGGTTCCTCCTTTTCACCTGATGGCTGAATGGAGTCCTGTTTGGGTTTCTTCTCTGCTCCCAGGAAGGCCCAGTTAGGATATCCACATTGCTCTAGAGCCTGTCTTGTGTAGGATTTCTCCTTCTGCCTGGCTCCCGAGGTAGTGGGGATGCTGTCTGCTCTGTGGTACAGAGTCCTGATGACTCCTAACTTGTGCTCCAAAGGGTGATGGGAGTCAAACTGCAAATACTGGTCTGTGTGGGTGGGTTTGCGGTACACCTCGGTTTACAAAAGTCCTCTGTCAGAGACTGAGACCTCACAGTCCAAGAAAGCCAACGTGCCATTTTTTACATCTTCTCGTGTGAACTTGATTTTATTTTTTATTTTTTATTTAGCCTTTATTTATACAGGTAGTCTCATTGAGCCACGATAACTCATTTTCAAGAGAGACCTGTTTAGGGAGCACATGGTGGGGGTTAAGGACCTTGCTCATGGGCCCAGAGTGGGGCGAATGAGGGTGGGGGCAAGTGTGGGTGTTTCACCTACCCCACCCACAATTTTGATATTGTCAGGGCCGGGGCGTGAACCGGCGATCTTCGGATCACAGGCCCACCTCTCTAACCTCTGCGCCACCACTCCCCTAATGTATTTATCCACAGAGTTGATGTGGTCAGTAAAATGTTGGACTTCCTGAGATTTGATTTTAACCCAGGTGTCGTCAACATACCTGAACCAATGACTTGGTGGTGTCCCTGAAAAGGACGTCAAGGCTCTCTTTTCTACCTCCTCCATGTACAGGTTGGCAGCAATAGGAGAAACTGGAGACCCCATAGCACACCCATGTTTCTGCCTATAATATTGCTCCCCATATGTGGAGTAGGTTGACTGCAGGCACAGTTTCAAGAGTTGACACAGTTGTTCTGTAGAAAGCGTGGTCCTGCTGCTCAGAGTGGTGTCTGATTTTAATTTTAAACCGACCACCTCTACTGCATCATCAACAGGAATGCACGTAAAGAGTGATGTGACATCAAAAGAGACCATTGTTTCATCAGTCTCCATGATGACATCCCTCACCTTGTCCACAAAGTCCATGGTGGTATGTGGTGTTCTGAGCTGCCAACTAAAGGGATGAGTACAGACGCCAGATATTTGGAAACATTGTAAGTGACAGAGTTAATCGTGCTAACGATTGGTCTTAAAGGTACACCTTGTTTGTGGATTTTAGGTAAACCATACAGACTAGGTGTGGCCTCCCCTGGATACAGTCTGTGGTACAGAATACGGTCAATAGTTGTTAGAGCAGAAAAACTTTGGACTGCAGCTGCCTGGAGTGCGCTTGTGTCACTTCATACTTGGAGCATTTCACACCTCCATAGGGGGTTCCCCCCGAAAATCTCATAAATAAGTGCTCGAGGCTCAGTGAGACTTACCTGTATAAATAAAGGTTGAATGAATGAATGAATCTCCACCATGAGACCTGGATTCAGGCTGTTGTTGTGGAAATGAACAGCCGAACGTTTCACGTTGTGTAAATGGGGCCTCAGACTGGCCGCTGATACAGTCTGTCAACCAAGTGACACATTTAATAGCTGGATGAGAGGCTGACGTCTATTTTTTTTAAGGCCATGCGATCTACCCATAATACCTTTGAGAGTGACCGGTAGATCACAATCGACATATTGGGGCACCCCTGAACAACACAAAGCATGTTGCAATCTTATTTATAGCCCAAATTTTAGTTTGGTGACCTTAAAAGCAAATTTATTAATTCTGTAATTTATAAAAATCTCTGTAACATAAATGTTTAAAATCAAATTGTAATATCCGAGGTTCAAACATCTAAGCAGCGTGTAATAGTTCTTTCCTAAAGTGAAAACTTGACATACTGTCATGGAGGTCGTCCCTCATTTCTACATTCTTGCTAATTAAAATGTCCCAACAGATAATTGTTCAGAATGAAATCATGTTTGTGATGCAGCAACAACAAAGTCAGCTGTGCAGGGATCAGATTTACTGAGTGGCACCAACCCTCTATCTGAAGCACCACAGCTGACCATCAGCAGCTCTGAGCTCCTCCCAGAAGACGAAGCTCAGATATCGATCTGTAACGATGAGCTTGGCGCAGTTTGGAGGATTTTCATTTCAGCCGTTTGTATCTAAGAAGTCAGCTCCTTCATCATGGCAGACCGGAGAAATGTCCTCTGAGCTGCAAGCGAGGCCCAGTCTGTTGCCCCATTTCCTGCTCCATCCTACCAGTTCTGAACTCCCCCGCTTGAGATGAAGACTAACCTCCAACCCAGAGGGAGTATTTCCAGAGCAGTGCAGCACATTTATGTTTGTTTACATCCAGTGTCTGAGAGACTCCAATACATAAAAATATGTATTTTTAATGTGTGCAGGTTAAAGAAAATATTGCACTGATGTTTTTTGTGGAAGTGAATGGTGGAGTTTTATTTCTTGTCATTTTTTTATGATTATGCCTTACAGATAATCAAAACCCAAAGCTCAGTGTCTTAGATAATTAGAATATTATAAACTTCTGGTGTCACAGTCTGATCAGATGATTAACTCCTGGACATGAGCTACAAATGTCTCATTCCTTGAGTTCAGCTACTGCTGAACCAGAGACGTCAGAAGCGTCTTGCCTGCTGCGGGGACAAAGAACTGGACTGTCAGTGGTCCAATGTCCTCTTTTCACATGAAATATGTTGTAAATCAAGGTCCCAGAGTCTGGATGAAGAGTGGAGAGGTCCAGAATCTACGTTCTTGAAGTCCAGAGTGAAGTTTCCACAGTCAGTGATGGTTTGGGTCCATGTCCTCTGCTGGTTCTGGTTCACTGGGTTTTCTGAAGTCCACACAGCATCTAGCAGGACATTTTAGAGATTTCATGCTTCCTGCTGCTGATGAGCTTTATGGAGATGCTGGTTTCATGTTCCAGCAGGACTCCGCTCCGACCCACACTGATAAAGGTACCAGAAGCTGGCTGTGGAATATTCTAATGTTCTGAGACGCTGAGTTTGGCTTCTCATTATCTATAGGTAATAATTATCAAAATTACTAATTATTAATAAATGTGTTTTTTTTAACAGAAGAACTTTGAGCAGTATTTTAAGTGAAATTTACTTTGACATTGATTTATTTGACACAAATGCTTACAGTAGTGTGCAACGGTCACTGGAAGCAGAGCTCTCAAAACCTTCTAATGCCCCTCCAAGAATTATAAAATGAAACTCTCTGGTAGGTATGATGGTTTCTATAAAAGCATAATTTCTTGCCCAACTTGTGGGGGGTCTGTGCCAAATGAAACACCAACTTTGTTGCATGAAGCACTGATTTATTGACACATAGGTCGTGTTACATGTAAAAATTATTTAGCCCATTGATGTGCCTGACTGTTAACTGGCCTATAGCATGCTCAGACCTGACTGATGATTGTTCTTTTTAAAATGGTAATAATCATTCTAATTGATAAACTGGTTGGACTCCAGTATGGTGACATGTTTTTGTCACGCTACATAGAATAAAAAGTGACGTGGGGCTTTACCTGTCAGGTAAAACTCTCTTGCTGTAGAAATCAGGCAGTCCGTCCTCCAGCATGCTGACTCCTCCGTTCTCAGAGTAGTGCTACACACACACACGCACACACACACACGCACACACACACACACACACACACCAGAAAACATGAGCAGTGATCTCTAAAGGCTGACTAAACGTATTAATGACAGACTGACGGATCCAACAAAGGTCCGTTAGTTAAAGCTCGTTTTAACACGCTGCTCCAACTCAATTTGCATCCATTTAGAGAAAGAGTCTAAACAAACAAGCTGCTCAGTTTGTTGATGCCCCTGGGAGATGGTGGTGTGCTGTTTGGATCACAGAGAAACATGCGGCAGCTTCCTGCTTTGAAAGAAACTTATTTTTAGAACAAGCCTCGGGCTCCGAACACCAGATGAATAACTCGAGTTCACACAAAGCATCCGAGAGCGAAGAGGGAAACGTTTGGTTTGCAGCCTGTGACCTTCACGCTGTGGGATGAGTTCAGAACTTAGGTCCGCTTGGATCATTCCATCGTGAACAGAACCAAACGGTCCATGTGTACCAACCTGCAGATGTGTGTGTGTGTGGGGGGGGGTCTGACCACTGAAGGTCAGAAAAAGGTTAAATATCTGTGTTTACTCACAGACTCAGGAGGAAGGTGAACGGCTCTGTGACGCCGTGGTGGGCGGGGCCTGACGTGGGTCACGTGACGCAAGGGCGAGCCATTGGTTGGCAGTGTGGACAGACATTCCCATGATGCCGAGTGGCTGAGGGAGGTGGAGTGGGAGGGGGCGGAGGGCGTTGGAGAGGGACTGGGCTCATCACCCAAACCTTTCAAATGAAATCAGACAAAAGGGTCACTATGGACCTGCAGCACGTTGTCTCACTTTCTTACACATCTGTAAAATTATTTTATTTTACTGTATAACATGTGAAATACATACAGGAATGTTGGTCTTTAAAAGTGCATTAACAGTAAATAATATTTTAGTGTAAAAGAAGACAAAATGCTGTCATCTGACTCTACGGTTGAATATTTTCTTTAATTTAAAGCAGAAACTCACTCATTCTGGTGGAGACCGGACGGATTCTACGGGTTCTGGAGCTCCGCTTCTTGATGGCCATTGTGTCCTTTTGATAAACAAACAACAACAAAAAACATGTACTTGTACAGAAATAAAAACTTTTTAAATGCATGCTGCTCTGTTTGCTTTGTCCTTTACAGATAAAACATATACAATTAAAAATATATATTATGTTTGAGATGCTGCATGAAGCTGAAAAAGCTGAGACATTTTCAAGCTGATTTGAACAGTTTGTTGAAATTTTTCTTATAACACCTAAAAATGAGCTATGAACAATCAATATCTTATCTGTTGTAGACAGCTCTTTGAAGGATCTCAGATGGAGAAACTGTGAATTTCTAACTGGACTGACATGCAGGCATTATTTGTTTTAAACCTTCAGGCCTTCTTGATCAGATATGACACAGTCCGAGTCTCAGACGGCACCTAAAGAGCTGCAGCTAAAAAATACCTGTGTCATGTGAAATTGACTGCGATGAAAAGGTTTAAAACAAAGTGTTGGCAGGAACCACTGTGAAGTTTTTAAATTTAGACTTGTTTGAAGAAAGATGAAATCCACGTGGACCCATTTAAACTAGACGTTAACCTGCTAATGGAACGAGGGTAAAAACTGATTCCTCCAAACTCGTCACTGTCTGCAACAGGTAAGGTAGAAACTGTTTGTGAGAGAACAGTCATGCTCTGACTGCTGAAGAGAGTGTTTGAATAATCAGTCATTCCCTTGGTGGTACCTCACCAGCACCAGTGTCATGATCAAACCGACACGTGTGGTGTTAACAATGTTCCATGCTTCAGTCACTTACTATTCCAAGGTTGACACCAAAATCCTCATCAGGGAAGTCCAGAGACTCAACTAGTCTGGAATGTCTGATGGTGCGTCTGCCTGTTCCCACATCATCCCATCTCTTCGCCTGAGACACTTGCCGCAGCTGACGCACAAACACAAACAAGCACACACACATGAGAGGCCAGCCTGCACTTGAACCAGCGTGGTCCCCAAACACAGCAGAGGTCACTTTAATATCACATGGTCAGGATTTGAATTAAAGACAACTTCTTGATCAGTAAAGCAGAGTGAGGCATGATAGAGGACAAACTGGCACTGCAGCAAAACATAGTGGAGAATGAGACGTTACGTTGGAGGTAGGGGATGGAATACAAAGCAGAAATTGTGCTGTTGTTAGTCGAAGACCACAAGGAATGAATGAAGAGAATGAAAGAGAAAGAAGAGTAGAGGTCGTAGAAATTGTGGACTAGGAAGTGGAAAAGATTAGTGAGGGTGAAGTCCAGAAAGCTCTGAAAAGAATGAAGAAGGGGAAGTCAGTAGGACCTGATGACATACCAGTGGAGGTTTGGAAATGTCTTGGAGAGATGGCAGTGAGGGTTTTGACTCAAATATTCAACGGCATATTTGAGGGTGAGGAAATGAATGAGGAATGGAGAAGAAGTGTGCTGGTGCCCATTTTTAAGAACAAGGGTGATGTACAGAGATGTAGCAACTACAGGGGAATTAAGTTGAAGAGCCACATGATGAAGATCTGGGAGAGAGTTGTGGAAGCAAAACTTAGACAAGAGATGATTATTGGTGGGCAGCAGTATGGTTTCATGCTGAGAAAAAGACATCTTTGCTTTGAGGATGCTGATGGAGAAGTACAGAGAGGGTCAGAAAGAACTCCATTGTGTCTTTATGGATTTAGAAAAAGCATCTGACAGAGTGCCGAGGGAGGAGGTGTGGTACTGCATGAGGAAATCTGAAGTGGCAGAGAAGTATGTTAGACTGGTACAGGACATGTATGAGGACAGCAGGACATGTATGAGGACAGCAGGACATGTATGAGGACAGCAGGACATGTATGAGGACAGCAGGACAGTGGTGAGATGTGCTATAGGAGTGACAGATAGCTTCAAGGTGGAGGTGGGAGTGCATCAAGGATCGGCTCTGAGCCCCTTCTTGTTGCTCTGGTGATGGACCGACTAACAGATGAGGTCAGGCAGGAATCCCCGTGGACTATGATGTTTGCAGATGATATTGTGATCTGTGGTGAGAACTAGGGCTTTAACAGACTACTCGAGTAATCAACATATCGATTCCTAGGACACCTATCGAGTTTTTTAATTTCACGTTGAATATTCGTGGTGACGTCATTACGTCGCCGTTACGTCATTGCGTCACGTGATCCACACTGGGCACGGGTTACAAAATAGATTCCTCCAAGCAGACAGATAGAGCGGAGCAGGCCCAGTCTTGACAAACAGGTAGAAATACATCAATAGTATAAAAATATTTAACTAAAGATGAATCTTCTGGTTCAACTACAATAAGGAAACAGAAAATGAAACAACTTCCTGACTGTTTGGAGCACGTTGTGAACCGGTGTTACACCATATTTTGTGACCACCATATATTATGACCGTAGGGGGCAGTGTTACATGCACTGTTGCAGGACACAGAATATGTTGTAACACCAGGTCCAATGACCGAACCAGAACCAGCTTCTTCTGACCTTGTTTCACAAACAAAAAGCAAAAAATATTAATCTCTAAACCTATAAAAAGTTAAATCTATAAACATATTAATCTCCAAAACTAAACTTAATACACACCACTGCGGGCGGTGGTGCGAGGTGGTCGACCCCCCACTGATTTTAGTTTAGTTTTTTACATGCTGCATGTTTCTTCACTTTTGCAGCTTAATAATAATAATAACTAATAGTTTAGTTTTTCCTGTGACTTATTTGCATTATGATAAATGGTAGGAGCATAATACACGCTCCCAATGTTTTGTTGGTCTTTATTTTTTTTTGTAAATAATGACCTTTTTTGTGGTTTTATTTATTTATTTATTTTTGTATCTTTAGATCCTATGATGTCATCAAGTACTCGAGTTCTACTCGAGTTTTATTATGTTAATGTCGAGTTTTAAAATGATGTAGTCGTTCAACCCCTAGTGAGAACAAGGAACTGGTGGAAGAAAACTTGGAGAGGTGGAGGTATGCACTTGAAAGAAGAGGAAATATTTTTGTTCTATTCTGGCTCTCGTTCAAGACAGATGCTTCTCCTCTCCCTCCCCCTGTTCTCCCTTTCCCCCTGCTTCTGCTCTCTGTGTGTCTCGGAGCTCCTGGTACACATCTCCCGAACAAAAAACACTATTATGGATCTGACGAGCTGACGACTTTCAATAAATCGACAAAATCTTTTCAACAAAACGACAGGGTCCTGGAGAACCCTCTTGCCCAGCTGAGACTCACACTGTGGGGTACATCAGAGATCAGCTGATGTCTCTCAGTTTTGTCTTAGGAGGACGTTGAAGATGTTTATATATTTGGATTTATGATAGCAGGGGTTCTGCTATTTGGCATCAGTGGGGCTCTGTTTTATCAACTTAAAGAAGACATCGGCAGCAGTTTCGGCCATGACAAAGCTTCCCAGTCTGTGTTTGGTTCGTGCTATGAGGACTCAGCTGATTAACGAGCGAAAACGTAAGATGAAGACAATTTGTGAGAATCGCAGGCCACCTAGCTGCGGCTTTAGGACTCGACAACATATGGAATCAGTCATGGGGAGGCTCATAACATGTATCAGTGGAGAGGAATACCCATAAAATCTGGACATTTTGGACCAAGGAAGTTCCAGCAGGACTCAAGGCTGACAAGAAAAACAGTCTGTCTGAAGAAAAATCAACAATTGTGGTTTATCTGAATCTGACTCCCCCGTTTGGCCTCGGACACGAGCCGACTATCAAATTTCTCCTGGGACGTGGGTAAGTAGGGAAAAAGCTTTGTCTTCGTCTTCGTCTAGGCAGGATGGAGTTTACAAGTTTACAAGACAGTGGTGAGACCAGCTATGTTGTATGGTCTGGAGACAGAGACATGGACAAAAAGACAGGAGACATAACTGGAAGTGGCAGAAATGAAGATGTTGAGGTTCTCCTTAGGAGTGACAAGAATGGATAAGATTAGGAATTAGATCATCAGAGGTACAGCACAGGTTGAACAACTGGGAGATAAAGTTAGAGAGACCAGACTGAGATGGTTTGGACATGTCCAGAGGAGGGACAGTGGGTGTATTGGTAGAAGGATGTTAGAAATGCAGCTGTCTGGAAAAGACAAGAGGAGATATATGGATGCAGTTAGAGAGGACATGGAGGTAGATGGAGTGAAGACAGAGGATGAAGAGGACAGAGTGAGATAGAGGAGGATGACTCTCTGTGGTGACCCCTGAAGAGGGAAAAGCCGAAAAAATTAGAAGTGAAAACAGTTTAAAAACTAATTTAAACAATTTCTTCTAGAATCTACAAAAAGTCATGCATTAAAGGTGTATTACCAGTACCAGGGTTTTATGAGTGTTGTAGAGCTCCTGGAGAATCTGATCCACGATTGAGTTAGTCAGATAGGACACCACGGACAGCTTCACCTCCCTGAAGCAAGAAAACCAAGAAACATCACCTCACTTACTAATTTTACCAGATGGAGCATTTAAACCTGGTTCTGTTCTTCTTACTCAAGCGCTCTGTTGATATCTTCAGCTGCTCTCTCCATCAGGGCACTGTGGATGGTGGAGCGAGGGATGGAGACCTGCTCTGAGATGGATGACAGAGGTGGGCTGAGTCTCTCTGCAGCTGAGCAGGACATGGGACACAACTCACGACAGAGAGACACCATGGAGTCCACCACCACCTGGACAGGACAGAATGGGCACTGAGCTTCACATCATCTTAAGAACTGCAGACTTGGTCAATTCTCAAACGCACCCATTTGTTTCTGCACTGCAGTTCTGTGCTTCTTAGGTTGTAAAAGCAGAGCGGCTGTTCATTCAGCTCAAAACGTAACACCTATATTCAGTTCACATGATGTTCGCCTTCATAAACAACTCACATTGCGCAATTTACAACCCCATCAGTTTATAAACACCACAAAACCATAAAGATTTTATAGTTGCCTTCTCAATATATGTTCATTTTTTTTAAATCCTTGTGTAAATTTTAATATGGAGGAGAGAAATAAACGTCTAACAGCTTCCTTCCTGTGAAATTAAATGCCACATTTCCTCTGAAGTCAGCACACCTGTAACACACACATTAACAGGCGACTTAAATGATAGGAAATAAATCTTCTGTGGACTCAGCAGTTGTCAGTGTCCTACCTGCAGCTCTTTGTCAGCAGCCTTGGCCAGCTCTCCTGCCAGGGTGTCCAGGCGCTGTCTGACGGGACCATCCACGGACAACACATGGGCCAGCTCGCACAGAGAGGGGTAAAGCTGGTGGACACACAAAGCAACATGAACACATGACTCCGAGCAGAAACCCTGCAAACAAACTAATCATTACATTATTACAGAAAATACTTTTTCAAACAAGAGAGAGGGAAACAGAAGGAGCTCATTATTTGCTTTGTTACAGTTTGAAGGCAGATGTTCACAAACACCTTTCTTGAGTTGACTGGATTAGATGAGAAAATTACATCCATCCATTTTCTTTACCCGCTTCTTCCATTTTGGGTCACGGGGGTCGCTAGTGCCCATGTCCAGCAATCACTGTGCGAGGGGCGGGGTACACCCTGGACGGGTCGCAAGTCCATCACAGGGACACACAGAGACAAACAACACAAACAACCATTCACTCTCTCACTCACACCTAGGGACAATTTAGAGTTACCAATCAGTCTAACATGCATGTTTTTGGTCTGTGGGAGGAAACCGGAGCATCCGGAGAAAACCCACGCATGCACGGAGAGAACATGCAAACTCCACCCAGAAAGGCCCCTGGAGCGGGGTTTGAACCAGGGACCTGCTCGCTGAGAGGCAGCAGCTCTACCAGTTGTGCCACCGTGCTGCCCGAGAAAATTACATTTTGAACATAAATTATTGGTGATGATGCATGGAACTGTTGTACACGCTCATGGCATGGAAATTATTAGCAAAGCAATATAACCTAACTGCATCAGTGCCTCCTTTTGATGAGTCAACAATTTTTTTCGCCGATGAACCATCTGGAGATCAGAATAAGCATTGCACAGTGAAGTACACAAAATTACATTCTGTGCAGTCGTCTGTAGTGAACTTAACCTGATGTCAAAACTAAGCCTAAGGTCAAAACCCTTGACCTTAAGAACCTTGTGGGACAGAAACTGTCGTTTCATTGATTTGAATCCAGAAATACAGGTTCACCCATCCTGAGACTTTCTTTCTTGAAAATCAAGTGAAAGAACACTCTCTTTTCTATTATCATTCCTGTTTTACAAATGTTTGATAATCAAAGTGTTTTAGTTCAACCATTTTAGATGTTGCAGTGAACTAATCAATTTTATTAACTGTAAAACAGTAACAATGATTTTTAGTTGCTTATGCAAAGTTAGAATTCATGTTAAGGCCTGTTACAGAGTTTTTATGCATTTTCTGATTTCTGTCTTTGAATGAGCAAGTGTGCGTTTTCCAAGGTCAGGAGTCGAAGCAGACATGTGTTGGAACAACTGTCTTGTTTACATCCTCTCAGACGTCAACAGAGAAGTTGGCACCTGTTCTCCAAACTCGCCAAAACAAAACTTTCCCTGTCTGAGAACAGTTTTAATCTGTTCCATAACAATTCTTGCTGTTTTCTGACTTCTAGTAACCTCTTACGTCACAAACCACACCCCTGTCTGGTTAATATGGACCAATCAGGGACGCTCAAATATACCGGAAATAGAGCTCTTTAAAATGCCGGTACTTCCTAGTTCTCTCAGTTCGGCGGCGCGGAGAAGTTCTGAGATGTTCGCAGTTCTGTGAAGTCGTTTGGGAGAACAGAAGTCCAGCCATGATAAGGCTCTTCGAGTTGGATTATAACATCTTCCACCTCAGAGTGGAACTTCTGAAGGACTCCACTCATGTGAAGTCCACTTGCTGAGGTGAGCTGGTGTCGGACGGAATCTCGTCACTACTTCGGACGAGTCGCAGCCATCCTATGGAGACGCTGGACAGGTAGCGTTAACTGGACCTCCATATCTGCTGATTTATCTTCAGAAAGGTAATGAGTCAAGTTTCCTACCAAGCGTACCGAGGAAAAGCTGGGCTCGAATGGAGAGGGTCGGTTCTGGTCAACACTCCCCCTCACACACCATCTTTTACTCCCTTTAAACTTCATTTCCATCTTTAAATTCTTCTCTCAAGTAGAAATCCTTCCAGATAATTTAGAAATGTCTGTGTAAAGTGCTCATCCACCGCCGTGTGGATAATTGATCATAATTGTACAGTTTTCATTGATGTCTGCTGTTCTGCTGAAGAGTGGAAACAATCGCCGCATTGTTTCTCACTACCTGTAAAGCTGTTAATTATGTTGTTATTTTCATATTTTGCCAAATTAATGTAAATGTTTGATGTTAAACTTTGATTCTGTAAAATAAATGACCGCATTCATTTTGATGGGTCAAAGATAAATGACGTCTCACGTTTACATTTCATTAAATTCAATGCACGTTTTATTCAGTCCAGAAAAATGAAGAATCCGTTTTAATTGATGAATATATCTCCGCATCTGTTCATCTACATATTGGTGGCCCGTCCGTACGTTACTACATATTGGTGGCCCGTAACGTGCTCATAAATGGACTGTGTATGCGTGTAATAATCGATATTTCATGTTGGCATGAGGAAAATAGCAGATTGTTTGCATGTTTACGCAGCGGCTGAAGCTGCGCGCTTGGGGTAACACGCTGCATGTTTACGCTGGGATGTTTGAAGCTGAAATTGTGAGTCATATGTCTTTAAAGCTGAAATTGTACGCCTGTTATGTGTAACTAAAGCTGGGTTTGTGTGGAAACGCTTTATTCTGTTTAAAGACGGTCCAGACGCGGTTCTGGTTCCGGCTCGGTTCTGAGAAAGATCGGACGAGTTGTTTAAATAGCTAGAAAGACGTTTTTGAGACCGGGGCGCTGACTCCGTGCAGCTCAGAGCTTGATTCGTGACACTTGTAACAGAAATTGGTGCATTTTGACAGTTTACAAGGCGAAAAGTTGTCGAATTATTTCAGGCTAACAGTAACATGCTAGTTGGAAAAACGGTTCGTGATTGGTTGGATTAGCTGCTGTGAAGCGCTCTGATTTGCTGAGAAGTGAATGACGTGCCTACGTCATTTCCTCTCACCCCCGTGCTGCTTTGCCATTGGCGGATTCAGTCACGTGACCCGGACATGAAAACTCGTTTTTCATAGGGAATAAAATCTGCTTTTTAAAGCGGAAAAGCGCTTAAAAGCTGTATTCTGAAACGCTGCTTAAGTTCTTCAAAGTCTAATTGCTAAAATTTTGCCACGTTTGAGTAAAAAATCCGTTCAGAAATGTTGGTTTTAACCAAGTCTAGCCGATGCTAATTTTAAACTAACAGCTAACGACCGGATGCCACAGGAAGTCATAGCGACTCCTACTGGATAACACTAACAGTGTCTGAGTTAAAATGAGTAAGGTTATGTTGACATCTTCTGGAGAGACTTGAGATCACAGGTTTTCACTTCGCTTTTTAAGTATTTTGAGTGAAATTAAACGTTTTTTATTTCTGTAAGGCATTTTTGAGTTAATAAACGTTCCTCAAAACTGAATAATCACTGTTATCTTGCATTTAAAAAGTTATTAAGGTAGTTATGCAGACAGGCATTTACCAACAAACCTTTATTCACTGGTAATTCCTCATTGAGAAGGTACAAAATAAAAGGTAGAAACTTTTTAACAAAAAAGGTACAGTTTCACATACTCACAGAGTTGATAAAGTTTACTCATTTGCTAAAAGATAATGCACGTTTAATTGTTAAATCACTAAATAAGAGTAAATATATCAGTAGAGAGAAACTCTTCTGATTTTATTTTACCACCTAAACAATTACATCTCCTATTTAAATTTTTAATAACGGATGATGGCGAACGAAGAGGTAAACACTGACCTCCTGCACTCCAATGATGCCGTCCAAACGGCTTTACATATTTTAACAAATTCAATTATTGGTAATCAATTAGGGCAATTAGAAGACCTTGATGACAATCAAAGAGATGAAGAACTGCAGAGGTTGGCAAAAGCAGCTAAAGTGTCAGAGGATACAAAATCGAGCCATGAACGGTTAGCAAAAATTTCCCTGCTTCTCAAAGCGGAATTGGACCATCAGGTTGCACAAAATGTCATGCTATCCAGAGGATATGAATCTGAAAAGGAGAGGTGTGACGGATTGATGAATGCGTCTGCATTGGAGAAGGAACAATTTCAGATTGATAGGGACCTCTCAAAGACTGAGCTGTCATTACAGGCTCAATCATATGAGGAGAGGATTAGGGATAGAGACCGTGCGTACCAAGCCGCGTGTTCAGACAACGAAGTGCTACAACAGCAGTTGCAACAAGCATTAAAGGAGCTGGAGGGTTGCAAAGCGGAAAAGGCGATGATTCTCCAACAATGTCTGAGTTTACAAAGTGAATGTCAGACATCACAGGAGCGCCTGAAAGCTTGTGAGGAGAATCTAGCCACAGCAACAAACAAGATTTCTGACGTGGGGCGAGCTGGTCTGGGACTCAGGGACGAACAAGGTCAGGGTCCGGGTCAGCCACAACCACCCCAGACAGATGCTGTTACACCTCCTCCCCTTAGCCCCGTTCCAACACCCCCACCTCGGGTGATAAGGACGGGTCTGCACCGACTTGCACCTCCTACTCTTAGCCCCGTTGTAACACCCCCATCTCGGGTGATAGGGATGGATCTGCACCGACTTGAACCTCCTACTTTTAACACCATTCCGTCATCCCCACCCCCATCTCGGGTGGTAGGGGCAGACCTTCACCAATTTGCACCACCAACCACACAAGAGAGACCGTTGATACTGTCTCCTTCAATGGGTGATTTGCAAAAAATCTCAAAATATGTACAACGCTTTGTACCTGGACCGATGGGTTCATCTGGAACAAAAGCGTATCTCAGAGATCTTGAGTTCAGATTGAGAGGTTATCCTAATGCTACGGTAGAGGATAAAATCAGTCTGATACGGCTCACTTCGGACAGAGAGGTGTTCACCTTCATCGAGCGTCTACCTGATGCAACGAGAAGGGATTACAACCTTCTGTGTGAAGCTTTGATCAGAGAGTACGACTCCTGCACGGGACCTGCTGGTTTCCCAGCTGCAGACAAGGTCACGCAGGGTAAAACTGAACATCCAAGAGTTTATTACAAAAGAATCTTCCAAGCTTATTTTGGTAACAGAAATGAAACCGGAATGGAGGAAGAGGAAGGTTTTAAGTTTGTTTTCAGCAAAA